TAAAGGTAACCAATTCTGGGAAGTGGAACCTAACACATATTTAAGGAAAATGTATTTTTAAAATATAGGTGGTGATATGAATATATCTTTTTTTAAGCGAATCCCGTGCATAAAGAAGACACAAAAGACTGATGACCAGACATAATTCTCAAATAAAATCTCCCAAGTTGTACTACATAACTTCTCAGCCAAATTCCCCTCTTGTGTTTAAGAGAATAAAATGACCATAAAGATGACTAAAGAAACCTCACCAATTTTTTTGCCTAAGGGGATGAGTTTAGGAATTATAGATTATAAGCAAAAGTACAAGATTTCTTTCTGTTATATTGCTGTATACCAGGGCCATTTGCCACCAAAGCAAGAAGGAGCCAACACCTTCAGACAGGCTGTGCTAGAACTAGGTGAGTTCTTTTGACCAAAACAATGAGGGCCCTATGTTCTGGCCTCCAGATGTGGTAGCCACCTCTCTAAATGCCCTGTTGGTGACCTTGACTCATTAGTCGTCCTTCACAGCATTCTATGCTTGGAAGCTGCTATGATTGCCTCTCATCCTCCCTTCCAGACCATGAAAACAGAACTGAGTTTCCTCCCCACTGCCTTACCCCCTACACTTGGGGAGGTAAGAGTAGAACCTAAGAACTGATCGAAAAACGTGGCAGAGGTGACAGGGAAATTACTGTGGAATTCTTGGTTTCTAGCCCCCTGCCCTAAGGATAGGTTAATTACAGAAACACTGACAGAATTTGTAAGAAAGCAACTTCGACTACACCAATCCCCACAGCATTGGCCAAAAGACATAGTGAAAGTAACGCTACAAAAAAGGACTAAAGTAAAAGAGCAAATGCCAGTCCCCAAGGTGTGGCTTTTGGTTCCAACCCAGAAGAATTCAAGTGCAGCTACCCCTGGCTAATTGTGATTCTAATCTCCCAAAAAAGGAAACAAGGGTATTCACAAAATATTTGCCAATGCTTGCCTTTTCCTTAGGAGTCGGACACTGGTTATTTACCTTTTAAATAGTTTTCACTATTTTTTTTTCATGTTTTTAATTTAAATTGACACCTTTTGAAGGTTAGTGAATGGGAAGTAGAATGATCAAATCTAAAAGTTTACTTTTTTTCAGGTAGCAGAGCAGAAAAGAAGCTGCTTTGCTGAAAAGTATTATCCCAGAGCACCCCCTTATGGCAAAAAGCCCTAAGGAAAGTGCTTCCATGGGAAAAGTCAGTGTTCCAAAGCTTCAATATGACATAAATATTGCATTTCCACTCTTAAGAGCTTTTCTTCACTTGTGATGGGAAATTGGAAATTATCTTGGCTCTTAGAAGAATAGTCCCCGTTCACTTTATAGGTAGATTTATTTACTGCTTGAAAAATAATTTCTTTCATGCTAGAAGAACATGACAGTCTATACCTTAGATTCACCCAATCACGGCAAACCTAAACTAATCCAGTTGGGTTTTTTTTTCTGCTTTTTCTCCCCAAGTTCCCCCAGTACATAGTTGTATATTTTAGTTGTGGGTCCTTCTAGTTGTGGCATGTGGGATGCTGCCTCAGCATGGCCTGATGAGCAGCGCCATGTCCACACCCAGGATCTGAACCAGCGAAACCCTGGGCTGCTGAAGCGGAGCGTGTGAACTTAACCACTCGGCCACGGGGCCGGCCCCTCCAGTTGGTTTTTCGGGGAGGGGGGGGGTTTGTGAGGAAGATTGGCCCTAACATCTGTTGCCAACCTCTTTTTGCTCGAGGAAAATTGTCACTGAGCTAACTTCTGTGCCAATCTTCCTCTATTTTATGTGGGACGCCTCCACAGTGCAGCTTGAGGAGCAGCGCATAGGTCCGCGCCCAGGATCCAAACCTACGAACCCGAGGCTGCTAAAGAGGAGTGCATGAATTTAACCACTATGCCACCAGGCCAGCCCCTTAATCCAGTTTTTATATTCATGATGAACTCAATTCCCAGACGAATTTCTTCTACCACCAGCTGGATTTGAAGTATTTTGTGAATGTCATTTTTCGTTAAACCATTTATACCCACTAACCTCTGAACTCTCTTGGACGCCAGCTTCATAGCTTGTTCATGTTATCAGTGCCCTATGAGCTGTTCTTCACTAAACAAGTCATTGATTCCTATTGTTAAGATCGTGAGTGGCCACAGCTGTAAACACGGTTCTCTGGAGGGTTTCTGCTATAGCTGGAAAAATAAGAAATGATATAATAATTCCGACCCAAGTAGGCAAATGTTTATAATAATTTAGCATGACAGAACATTCACACATAACTTCTTTTTCCTCTTATTTTTTTAACCCGTTACTTAGACTTTTCAACTGTTCTGTATGTCTTGAGACTACATCTCTAAGCTCTTGTATTAAACATCAGAAAAAGACATTCAAATTTAAACGTATGATAGAACTTGGCTTAATAGCATCTTTAAATGCTGATCAAAGGAATAATATTACATATTGAGTTTCCCTATTCCTTTGAGAAGACGTTCTCATTATTAATCTGCTATCATTTTATCCTGAAGGCACAAGATAAATCCCATCATAGCAGGATTCCAAAAAGGTCAGGCCTTGGGGCCGGCCCTGTGATCGAGTAGTCAATTTCATGTGCTCCACTTGGGCGGCCCAGGGTTTGGCCAGTTCGGATCCTGGGCACGGACATGGTACTGCTTGTCAGGCCATGTTGAGGCGGCGTCCCACATGCCACAACTAGAAGGACCTACAATTAAAGTATACAGCTATGTACTGGGGGGATCTGGGGAGAAAAAAGCAGGGGAAAGAAAAAAGATTGGCAACAGTTGTTAGCTCAGATGTCAATCTGTAAAAAAAAAAAAAAATTACAACAAAAAGGTCAGGCGTGACTGAGGAAGCCTGAGTGCTGCAGAGTTAGATGAGGTCTGGGTGTTAAACATGGGACCAAAGATAGAGGGTGGTGACTTGAGAAGCAGGCTCACAGGTACAAGATTAGATACCGAATTAGAGGGGTCAGGGTAGGAAGGTTTATTATTGGACAAAAGGCCCAAACCAGCTTTCCCCGCCGTAAGAGAGGGCCAGCGGCTGAGAGTTTTGGGTCCTCACGGACAGTGTTGGAGCAGGGTATCCTCTGTAAAGCATCCAGGACTGGGCACATGCTGAAAGGTAAGTCCAAGTAAAAGTTCTTAGAGAGTTCCAAGGAGCAAGCCAGGTAACCAAGGTCAATGTGGGTTCAGTGGGCAGAAAACATAACCTAGTGCCAAAGGAGCCAGGATGGGCCCCAGGCGATGACTGTGAATGGAGCCTGCCTTTGGTGGTTGTGTAGGGCTGGATAATATCTACACAGTGAGGGTGAGAGAGACAGAACCAGAGAGACAGAGATGGAGAGACTGAGAGACTGTTTAGTCCCAAGTTGGAATTTTTTTAAAATGTTCATTTGCGGGGCTGGCCCCGTGGCCAAGTGGTTAAGTTCACACACTCTGCTGCAGGTGGCCCAGTGTTTCGTTGGTTCCAATCCTGGGCGCGGACATGGCACTGCTCATCAAACCATGCTGAGGCAGTATCCCACATGCCACAACTAGAAGGACCCACAAGGAAGAATATACAACTATGTACCGGGGGGCTTTGGGGAGAAAAAGGAAAAAATAAAGCCTAAAAGAAAAAAAGTTCATTTGCTTCTCTTCCTCTCACCAAAAAATTCCAGCACTCAAAACAGAAAATAAAATGTGGAATCGTTTCTCCCTTGCTTTGCCTTGAAGGTCCATTACGACTTCAAATCATTCTCGCTGTTTCTTATTGCAGACATTTTTTTTTTTTTAACCAATCCTGCGTGTTGGTCCTGATCCACTGATCATGACCTGATCCTTGGTCCTTCTCTAGAAAAATGTTAGTTCCTGAGACTTGAGGTCTCCTGCAGCCACTTTTAACCCGTGATGAATCTTGCTTCATCCAAACATATGTGCCTTACTTGCCCCAGCCTTCGCGCTGAAGCTTGCCGTGCATCCAACGAATTCAGGACACCAGGTAGCTGAATACCTGATCTCCTAATTTCAATGATCTGTCCCTCCACCAGCAATGACAGCTCATTATTCCAGAATTTCCTAGAAACTACCAGGAAAGTCCACTAGAGGTCGCTTTACTGCCACATGCAATGGATGGGGAATTTCAGAGCTTCATTTCCCCTAAAAAAAAGTTATAAAATAGTGTTGGTGTTGTAGTTCCAAGCAAATATGATAGCAAATTGAGAATTAATTACTATGTCTTTCGCATGCCATAGTGCACAGTGCTCCCAGAATTTCAAACACATGAGGCTGAAAGGGCATATGGAAATTATGGAAAATTGAAAGGAAGACAGTTTATTGCTTCTCAAAAGCCACATTCACTACTTGTTCCTTCATAATACAGAACCCACGTGACTCCAGAAGGACAGCAGAGGGGACAGGGTTGCTAAGTGAGAGACGGTACATTCAAGGAGATCGGAAGGTCTGCAAACCCCTGGAACTGTGTGCATTTTCCTGAGGACAGAAGGACCCCCAAAGAGGTTTAAGAGACGGTGGAGAGATTTGGAACCCCAGGAAGACCCTCTTTTTTCTCCACTCTTTCCTGTCCCCAAAGGAAATTCAAGGAGAAATTTGGACTCGGAAACCCCCTCCAAATCCAAGATTATCTCAGCCAGCCAGAGACACATCAAGGAGCTGGTGTTGGAGCCGCTGTTCTTTATAAAGAGCCTGAATGGCAGAACTGGAAGGCTAGCAAAGCCTCAGCATTCACCACCAAACTAGGAGGTACAGAATAAATGATAATTGTTGATAGTTAAGGCAGAATGCAGCCTGAAAACAAAAGGAAGATAAATGAGAATGGCTCACCAGGACCTGAAACCCCAGGCACTAGGGACAAATGGGGATCATTGACATAGAAAAAGGGTGGAAACCCCCAGTGTGATGCAGATTTGTTTGAAACTGAGTGACCAGCTTCTAGAGATACGGGAGTCCCCACAGGCCAGCTCACCCCTCCCCCACAGCCCTGTGTGAGCTCACAATACCTAGCCTTCTGATGGCAGTTACCTCAAAGGGATTTAAACGAACCAAAATGGAAAGCTTTGGATGAGCAGAGTCCGAGTCTGCCGTCAGTGTGAAGGTTGAGAGTTCAGAAAAGTCTGAAGTGTGGACAGGTGAGGCTGAAAGGAAAGAGAATTCAGGGAACTGTGATTTATTTCTGTTCCTTTAGGGATTGAAGGTTTGGGCTTTGACCTGTTCTCAACCGTCTCTGGAGAGTTTGGAGTTTACGAAGTATTGGAAAATAAAGGCCTTTGGTTTTGATCATTACTCCTGACCTTTCCCATCTATCATTTAAATTTGACTTATTAACAATATCTAGCAAAAATCCTGTCCATTTGGAGATAATCGTAGGTATCCTTGTACCTAACTACTCTTCCTAACCCTCTGGGAGAATGACCATATTCTCTCATCTTAGCACTGAGCTCCGTTAGAACTGGTCAGGCTTAAGGAAAGAATTGGGTTTTATACTATGTCTTAAAAGCAGTTAAACTGGAAACCCTAAAGTGGAACCATTTCAAACTAGAGGTATAGTCCAGTGTTGGAGCAGCTCACCATCTATATAGTTTAAAGATACTAACAAGTTCTTTTTAAATCAAAGGATCAAACAGGCACTACTATCTGCAGGCACTTCAAAACAAATGAGCCAAATTTATGCTTTCAATCCAACAGCAACCAGTAGACTCCACAAGAAGTAGAGACAAAATGAGACTGCAAGATAGATTCCAGCTCCAAAACAAGTTCTGTGACTGTCTGCGTCTCCTGCCTTCCCTTTACCACAGATACTCCATTTGATCTGAAATTCGGCGTATCATTGTGAAAAGTGCAAGGATTTAAAGTCCAAACATCTATCCCTTGGGAACTCTGAGATCTAAATGCCAATGTAGCCATTTTCTAGTTGAGTGATTTTGCAGAGTTATTTAACCTTGGTTTATTCATCTGTAAAATGGGAATAAAATGACCTACCTTGTAAGGATTAGCGACGTGTGTGTGTGTGTGTGTGTGTGTGTGTAACTATCCCAGCCTCCCTCTCAGAGAAGAGGGTAAGAAAAAATACAATGTCCTATACAAAAAGCACTTTAAAAAATGAAAGTACTATATAAAAAACAGTAATTAATAAACCTGCAATCATGATGTAAAGCATATTGAGGGTTCACTCCTGCCCTCATGCACTAAAATAGACTAAAGATTTGTTTCAGATCTATTGAAACTGCTCTTTCAATCACTTGCAGGACCAATAAGAAGCTACCATAAGACTAATTCCCACTCAACATCAGGAAGAGTTAGCAACAGCGGTCCTAAAACAGAAAGACGGCTTCCAGAAACTGTGAGTTCCTTGTTACTCCTTGTTACTTGTAGAACTGTAGGACAGGGGACGAAGATGGGAAGGGAATGAGGAAGAGACTCAAGGATGGCCAGATCAATTACTGGCCTGGACTTTCTAAGGTCTCTTCCAAACCTGAAAAGTTTTTGCTAGAGAATTATAGAAGGAGATTCTACGTCAAAACTATACTCTTGACCTAGATTACTACCCTTGCTTGGCTTCCCAATAAGCATCTTTCCTACCCTGGTTGCATTAACAGAAGAAAAAAATATCCACATTTCCTACTTCTTTGCAATTATTCCTAAAAACCCTCAGTCACAGGAGCTAGAAAGTGAGCTCCGGGGGACAACGGCTTAAAAAGCAAAAGCTACATTAAGTAAGTAAATGAAATTTGCAGCATGATTCAGATGGTTTGGTTAAAAAGAAAAACAAACCTTTGGGGCTGGCCCCATGGCATAGTGATTGAGTTTGACATGCTCCACTTTGGCAGCTTAGGTCGCAGGTTCAGATCCTAGGCACAGACCTATACCACTGGTCAGCCATGCTGTGGAGGCATCCCACATACAAAATAGAGGAAGACTGCCACAGATGTTAGCTCGAGCTAATCTTCCTCAAGCTGAAAAAGAGGAAGATTGTCAACAGATGTCAGCTCAGGGCAAATCCTCCTCAACAAAAAAACCCCCAAAACCAAAAAATCAAACCTTTATGTGTATATTTGAATTCAATTCTCCAATTTATTTTCTTAATGAAATATTTGACTTTTTTTATAAGAATTCTAAGAAAAGCAAAAATATTTCTTATCAGAGCATCTGAAGGACTATTTATGTAAATTTTTTTATAAGTTAAAATATGCTAGAAGCCACCAAACAGATCTTGTGTGTAGCATATCTGAAATAGACCCAAGGCAGACAGCCTTCGTTGTCTCAGTGTGTGTACAGACCAGGGCACTGGAACATTGTGGAATGTGCATAGAAACCACTGGAGCCAGACCTCCTGGATTCAAGTCCTGGTGTCGCCACCTGTTAGTTACATGACCTAAAACAACTCACTTGATCTCCGTACCCCAGTGTCTTCACCTCTAAACGAGAATAACAGTATATACTTCATGGACTTAGTGTGAGGCTAGATGACAAAATACTTATAAAGCTGCTTGCACAGTCCTCAGGCCTATAAGAGTGCTTCTGGAATAATAGCCATCATTAACACATGGCTCCCTCTGGATGGGTGATGGGTTTTTGAATGTAGACCTTCTGAAATACTTTATTTTTTTTAAGATTTTATTTTTCCTTTTTCTCCCTAAAGCCCCACGGTATGTAGTTGTGTATTTTAGCTGTGGGTCCTTCTAGTTGTGGCATGTGGAACACCACCCCAGCATGGCTCGATGAGGGGTGCCACGTCCATGCCCAGGATCTGATCCAGCAAAACCCCAGGCCCCGCAAGTGGAGTGCACGAACTTAACGGCTCGGCCACGGGTCCAGCCCCAGAAATACTGTAAAATTAAATTTCAAATTATAAAAATAACATACCCTTATTGTAAAATATGGAAGTGACTCCAAAGACTTGAAAAAGAACATTAGTCACCCCTAATCCTACCAATTAGAAAAAAGGCTATTTAACAGTTTGTGTATTTATTCCAAATATTTTTCCTCATATACTTTTACCTAGTTAGGGATCATACGTACACAGTTTGGTAGAACGAGGACTAGGGTTTAGAGTGGACTGTGACATTATGTTATACTTCCTTCGGTGGCATAAGCGAGCTATTCCCACACATACCACCTTGAAAACCATATTTTCCTTTTCCTATTCTTCATTACCCCTTTTTCTCCAGGAATTCACTATCTCTTTAGTAAGGACATAGCCCTGTGATCCCTGGCCTTCTTAATGTGAATTTTCTCACTTTCAAAGAGGTACCCTCACTCTCACTTTCAGGAGAGACCCTAGCCTTATATAGTCCACAACTTCTCTTCTCTTTTCTCTCCAATACCTGAGCTCTGGATGTTGGAGTGCTGGTTACCTCCAGTAACCAAACTCCTTGAAGAAAGTGCGAGACAGCCCAGTGTGCCATCAAGTACTACTGCTCTTTGGCTGATAGAAGTATAGAGAGATTCCTAGATTAAATCTTTTTATATGACAACCACCCCTAGCACTTGGTGAAATATTTTCCGGCCCAAACCCTACAATCTGGGTTAACAATATAATCTGTGTAGTTTCTATTGAGGGCTGAAAAGAGAGTAAATGCTCAATTTTCCAAAATGTTCTGGGAAAAGATGCCTTTCAACGCTTTTCCCTGCCTCTCGATGACGGCTCCTTTACGTGGCTCATAGCAGTGAGAGAAGATAACAACTCAGGTGCGACACTCTGCTGCTGCGCTGCAATCTTCATGTCTCTCAAAATAAACAGAAAACAAGCAAAAAAATTTTTTTGAATATCTGTCACCCTATGTCCATCTCTGTTTCCTCTGCACCCCCTACCAGTCCATCCCTATTATCTGGCTGCTCTGAAGCTTCTGGCTGGTCCTAAACCCCCATAAAAACAACCTCTTTTTGGCTAATCTGACTGATGATGGCTCAGAAAGGCACGTTGGAGAGCACAGCACATGCGGTATGTACGCGTACTCACACATGTGTACACATGTACACACAAGATGGCCTGCAGGACACATATACAAAGGACATGCAGAAACAGCTGTACCACACAATTAAAGTATGGTTATGCTGGAGCATGAACAAAAAGCTGTATTAAGAGTTGAAATATTAATGGATGCTGATAGTCAAACGAACTTATGAAGGAAGATTTAATCTCAAGAGGCTGACTGAATGGAAGTACCATTCTCATAAGCCCAGATATCTATCTATCTTTATTTAATAACCACATATAGCAAACATTCAACAAGGTTGCATGGCAGACTGATGAGACAATAGTACTAATTAATATCAATAGTAATTTCTTAATTGGATTGTGCTCCATGATTTACCAAGGGCTGTCACATCCATTCTCTCATTAGGTTCTTACCACAGTTCACAGGAAGTTGAAGCTCAGAGATCATTTTTGTTGTTTACACTCAATTCCTTCCTTCAACAAAATATAGCGTGCTAACGTGTGCCAAGTGCTATTGGAGGTACTAATAATTCAGGAGTGGACAACAGAGATAAAAGCTGCTGTTCTCATATAGCTTACATTCTAGCAGGAGACAGAAAATATACAATATATATAACAAATAAGTAAATTATGCAGTTATTTAGAACAGAATACTAGACTGATGCAGCAATTTTAAAAGTATCAAATATTATGGAAAATTAAATAAATTGGGGTAACAGGAGGTGCTAGGGGAGGGAAGCAGTTTTAAATAGCATTGGCAAGAGAGGCCTAATTGAGAAGGTGCTATTTGAAAGAGCACATCTGGGAGAAGAGGGCTCCAATCAGGAGGAGCAGTCTGTGCAAAGTTCTCGGGGGCACGAGCTTGGCTGGACTGTTTGACGTGCAGCAAGAAGGCCAGTGTGATGAGGACAATGACACGCGATGAGAAAAGGCACGGGGAAGGCATTGAGCCCCATACATTAGGGCCTTAGACGTCTTTGTAAGGATTGCAGCTTTCACTCTAAGTGAAATGGGAAGCTGTTCTGGCTGTTATGATGAGAAAAGACTGTAAGGGGACAAGAGGAGAAGCAGGGAGACGAGTTAGAATGCTATTACAACAACCCAGGCAAGAGATGACAGCAGCTTGGTCCGTGGTTATAGCCGTGGAGGTAGAGAAATGGATTCCGGAAATATTTTGAAAGTACAGCCAAAAAGATTCCCTGATGTGGAATGTGAGCAGGAAAGATAGACGATGCCAAGGAGGACAGTAAAGTTTTGGGCCTGTGCAACTAACAGGATAGAGATGCTATTTACTGAAATGAGGAAAACTAGGCAGAACAGATTTGAAGAATTTGAGTTCAGTTTTGCAAGTATTAAGTTTAGATGTCTATTCGACATCCAAGTGGAAATGTTGACTAGGCAGTTAGATATATGAATCAGAAGTTAAAGGGAGAAGTCTGGGTTGGAGATAAAATTTGGAAATTGTCATCATTTAGATGGTATTTAAAACCGTGAGCATAGATGACATCACTAAGAGAGTGAGAGAGATAAGGACCAAGAACTGAGCCCTGTCGCTCTCCAAGGTAAAAGGTGAAGAAAAGAGAAGGATTCGGCAAAGGAGTTTGAGAAGGAACAAACAGTGAAGGGGAGGAAAACCAGGAGAGTGTGGTATTCTTGGGAGGCAAAAGGAAGAAGATATTTCCAGGAAGAGGAAGCGACCAATTGTGTCAGTTCCCCTAAGGATAAAAACTAAGACCACTGTATTTAACAACATGGAAGTTGCTGTTTTTAGGAAGCTCAACAAGACCTGCTTCTATGGAATGATGGAGATGAAAGCCTGATTGAAATAAGTTTGAGAGATAATGGAAAGAGAAGAATTAAAGATAGCAAGTGTAGAACATTTTCAAGGACATTTGCCATTAAGAGAACAGAGGAATGGGGGCATTGGGTGCAAGACTTAAGAGAAAGCATTTTTAAGATGGGAGAAATAACAGCATGTTTCTGTGTTACTGGTAATAATCCAGCAGAGAGGAAAATTGATGATGGAGGAGAAAGAGGAGCACTACAGTGTACTTGAGTAGATGAGAGGGTGTGCAGTCTCCTTCACAAACCAGGGCATAGCAAAACGACTTACCCATGATCACACAACTAATAAATGATAGAGCCTAGATTTGAACCCAAGCCCCATGCTCAGCATTCTTTCCACTACACCATTACGGAAGAGGCCCTGGTGTCACGCACTGAAACATACTTGGCTAATGTTCATTAACCTGTGCCTAATTACATTATTTCAGAGCTCACCTGATTTCTCCTAGGCAATTCATTTCAACATATTCAGTGTTTGTCTAATGTGTGTAAGGCACCAGGCTGACAGGGATGGGGGAAGAAGGAATACAAATGTGAATGACATAGCACCGTCTCTA